TTTTATCTTTAAGAAACCTCCTATGTAGAGATTGCTGTTTTTTATGAACTGTCAACTTGAAAGATCATGAATTGTTATTGGACGTAGATGATACGCAAAAATGTGGACACGTTGCCACTTTGACATCAATTATCTAGACTGACTTGTTTACTGGGATTCAAGATTCCAGGAGACAAATACTGATTAAGAACCACTAGTCCCCAGTGAAGCAATAAACTTGTAAGCCAGTCCTCTTTAGAGACATGGACTTCCCACATCACAAATTTAAAAGCACTGACTCAGTCTTTTACAGCAACTGCAAGGGTATAATGATTACACTGTTTGCATATACAGCAGAAATTGCAATTTCTTTGTTCCTGTTTGAATGTCCATAGCACCTTTACAGTGGAGAGGGATGGACTGTTCTCTGTGGGTCCCAGTACAGCAGAGACTGCAAGTGCAAACTGACTTGCTTTGCAGAATGCTGAAACTGAAAAATATGGTTATCTATAAGGTGTGTAAAAGTGCTTTGCTGAGTGATAATAACTTCCATCAAAAAGTGTTTTATACTTGCTCAGCAGTAGTCGATATGCCACTGAAATTTTACTTTCTGCTTTTATAAATACTTACAATATCAGCTGTTAAGCAAACACTGGTCCCTATCTCTCTGTAATTTATGTCTTCATTTTTATCTTAGTACTAATTTAATTTCATTTAGGTTAAGATAAAAAGGTTAGAGAAGGGACTCTATAGCTTTGTACTTGCTTTGGTGAACAAAATAATACTTGATTCCATATTTTAGCACTGATTAAGCACACTTTTTCTGTACAAGAGTTTGAACAAGAAAACATGCTGTACATTCACTTGTGTGAAAAGCTGTGGTTTGGTATGGCTAATTTTGTTTTTCGAGAACAAAATTAATTTGAAAGCATGAATCTATTCCACAAATTTACACACCTGAATATTAAAATTTTGTTTTCTTCCTGTGTTCTTTGCTTTTAACAGTCCTTTTTTTCCAGTAAATATTGGTATGCTATTATGGTTTTAGGACGGTTTGACTGCCCAAGTTTTAAAATAACCACTGTTTTTTTTGTTCCTTCCTTTCTACACTCTTAGTGTCTATCAAATCGTTGTTGAGGAAGAGCGCCCACGGAGGACCAAAAAGACAACTGAGATCCTAAAGTGCTACCCAGTGCCCATTCATTTCCAGAATGCCTCACTCCTGAATTCCCAGTATTACTTTGCTGCAGAGATTCCAGCCAATGGTTTACTAGCTGCTCAGCCTTTCACCATTGGTGATAACAAAACCTACAGTGGTTTCTGGAATACTCCTCTTCTTCCTCATAAGAGCTACAGCATCTATTTTCAGGCTGCTAGCAGAGCCAATGGGGTAGGTCTTGCAACAGGCGTGATTTTATAGAGTGCTTGTGTGTAAATAAATGATTGGCATCAACTAGCAGGATGCCTAATTTAGTTGCTAATGAGAAAATGAAGTAACCGTGAAATTTAACACACTGAGTTTAAAAAATAGCAGTTTTCCTAACACAATATTGCTTAGTGATTAAAGGTTACAGGAAAGAGGAGGGGAAAAACACACATTTTGTCAGTAGTGAGCAGGCAAAGTAGTATGTTACCATTCTGTCTTATTAGCTAAAAGCTGTCCAGTGACTGTGTCTGACTGGCTTTTTTTTCTTCCTTTTTGTTTTTTTCTTGCTTTTGACAAGAAAATGTGATTTCTTTTGTTATGTTTAAGCCAAACACAATTGTGGATTTTAGCACATCTGTCTTGACGTGTCCAGTCCTATTACCTTAGTTTGTAACATCTTGATCTCCCTTTTTCTTATTTGGTTGCCCTGATTGAATTAGAAAACACTTTTTTTTTTTTTTTGTCCCTTGCTGCAAACAAATTAAAAAGAAAAAGAAAAGAAGTAGATGGAACTGAAAGGAAAAGTGTGTAAAAAAGATCCTCACAGATCATGTTTCATCAGACTAATTCTTCTTGGAATTGTTTTTCATTTCCTGGACAGACCTACCCAGAGCCTTTCAATTCTTGATAAGCTTTGGCTGTCTGTGCTGACAGCCTGGAAATGTTTTCTGCCAGAAACCATAATGGTCCCTCATTCACAGTGCACCAACAGTGCACAAATGTGAAACACCATTGATTATTTTTTCTTTCTAAAGTTGTCTAACATGATGCCGCAAACTATACTTTCTGTAAGAAAAAGAATCTCCCAAGGTCATTATGTTGCCAGAGTTAAAAAGCTGAGCACTTTCCTGTGTTCCTGAGAGCACCTTTCACATTTTCTACTTTTAGAGGAACCTTAAGTGAAATGTTTACATTTCATACCCAGGCAGTATTTGTCCATATTATGAATATACTTTGGAATTAGCTAATAAGCAGTTAAATATGGAATAAATCACATTCTGCTCTGACATTTTATCAGTACTTTTAAGAAGAGAATTATAGATGACTTTCTCTGTCTAAAAACACAACATGTGACCTTTTTCCTCTTTATTTGAAACAGGAAACTAAAATTGACTGCGTCAGGGTAGCCACAAAAGGTATGTTTGTATTATGTCATGTGTTCTGTACTTCACCTTGTTGACCTTCCCCTCACGTGGTGTTTGGAAACATGCAGAAGTGTTTATATTGCTAAAACTGATCACTAAACATATTAGAGAATTTTCATAGAATCATTTGCATCCTTAGATGAGATTTAAGAAATTTGTTTGTTTGTTTGTTTTTAATCATAAATGTATTTATTACTTTTAGTTGTCTGCTTGAACACAGGGCTTTTTAAATATATTCTGTGGGTTTTTATATGATCTCACAATAAATATTTTGTACTTACATACATATATATATACTTTAGAGTTGTGAAATTGCCAGTTGCAGAGTACATAGTAGCTGCCTATACATCCATAGTGAAAAATTGCCTCTTATTGGTAAGCAATTACCTTAACTTAATTGCTGTATAAAAGAGAAGGGGAGAAATCATGTTCTTCATTTTAATGAGACAGATCAGCTATATTTACTCGACTGTCAGCACATGATACGACCATTTGCGAGACAAATATGTGTAATTGAGACAGTACTGGCTATAGGTTTTGTCTCCAAACAGGGAAGATAAACATGTTGCTGATCTGTTTATCTTTGGGGGCTAGGTCTATCTGTGATTGTTTTTGTAGTCTCACCTTTTTAGCACCTTTTGCTGATGGAAACTTAAAAACCTGAAAAAGAAGTGATGGAATAGTACAATTTACTTGGAGATTGTAGTAGAGGAACAGGAAAGAATGTGCTGCTGTGATTAATAATAGGTAATATCACCTGGCAGTTTGGGCACCTGGCAAGATCATGAAACAAAAACTGCTTCATCTCTATACTGCTGTACCTTGCAAGACATCATGCTTGTCTCAGTGACTATCTCTAATGGAACTGATTCCACCGTGATTTCCTTTACATGTAAACTTCACAATTCCATCACCACCTCTAAGTCTAAATGGGGTGGATGAGAATGTCATTATTTAAGAGTAACGAAATGTTAGCATAAAATTGCTGCTGTTGAAAGTTTGGATACTCCCTAATGTGACAAGTACATTTTTATGCCTCTTCGAACTGATTCCTGGCTTCTTTTCCAAACCAAGGGAAGTAGTTTTAATTTTAATTTACTAACTGACTGCTTACTAATCCATAGAAATCTTTCAAATATCTGAACTCAACCCAAATATAATACAGATGAGAGATTAATTCCAGATGCAAGTAAAATCCTGTATTGTTTTAAAGTAATTTCAGAGATACCAGGAATGAACTATGTTACATCAGAAATCATAATAGATGGTTAGAGGAATGGATTTTAAATTTTTTTTAATATTTGTATTCCTGCTCACTAATGAATGTTCAACTATTTAAATTACTTGACTGAAAGTTTTTACTCGATCATTTGAGAAGCGAGGGTAACTGTGGATTGGAGTAGCTCCCATAGCAACAAGCTACTTTGAGCTAACCCATTTGGCAATGGAGATGTGAGAAATGCAGCTTTTATTTTAAACAAATCTCCCTACGTTCCTGTTTTGAAAGCATGTTTCAGATTTTTTCATAATAAAATAATGTTAGAGGTTGTTGTGAGGACTTTTTTTTTGAAACCAGAGGTATCCTTGATGGTATTTATAGTCCCTGGTGCAAAATGTTCTTAGGGGGCTACTGATTTTAAACTGAATGCTTGTATTATATTTTTAATTTATTAATTAAAAAAAAAAATGGAGACCATGACATATTTTAATATGGTATTAAAAGTAGCTGTCTGCACAGATGTTTTCCCTTTGGACCTAACAGAGGTATTTAAGGGAAAAACAGAATTCTGTGCCCTCCTAGACCTCCCACATTTGGGTTAGAAAAAAACAGCAAAAGTGCTCTATGTCTGTAGGTCAGAAATCACTGTATACCTGCACTGGGACAAGACATAAAATTATGCTCTCCCATTCTCCTCTCCTTCTGTTCAACCCGTGCAAACAGCTCGGTGCAGCTCAGTACATTCACTTGTCTGTAGCCCATTAAGCAATGGCTGCTCTGACCACTGTCAGATTTCTTAGACTTGCATCATTTTCCACTGAGCTTTGAGACTACAGTAAGCTACTTAAACAGATGGACATAACAAGCACACAGAGCTTATGTGCTCTAGTGCTCCTGACAAATAAGATTGGGAACGCTCTCCAGTACTACATCTAATTTCACAAACTAGTAACATTCCTGAAATATTCGTAGTCTGGGCTTCTCTTATCTTCAGAAGTTCAAGTTTGGTGGTTTGTAAAGCTAGAGGACGTGCTTTAGGCCATTCGTGTATAAAATTTGTGAAATCTTCTTTTGAATTAATGTCTGATCCTGAAAATACCTACAGCCTTGTGTAGGCCATTAGAATCAGTAGACACACTGTCGATTTTATTATGTGAGAAACCATATGCTTTCACAGAATCACAGAATATTCTGAATTACAAGGGATCATCGAATTCAGCTCTTAAGTGAATGGCCCATATGGGGATTGAACCCACAACCTTGGTGTTCTTAGCACCATGCTCTGACAAGCCAGGCCCTAATCAAGTCAGTTATGTATCTAATTTTGCACACAGAGAATAATTTCATTGACTACTTCACAACTATTCTGTCTTAAAGTAGACATGTAAGTATTTTATTGGATAAAGGCCTGTGCCATTCCTAGGATCAAGAGCCCTTCCTAAGATCAAGGTCACTCAAAGCAACTTTAAGGCTGCTCCACTGAGCCAGCTGAGATTGGCCAAGGCACCTCATTGTGGTTAGCCTGTTTGAAGCCTGCCCTGAGGACCAGTGTGGGGATTCAGAACATGTCAGGAGCAGAGCTATGTCACTTGCTAGTTATATTCCCTTTAATTATCCCATCACCTCCAGATAATAAAGTTGTTGGTGCCCTTAAGACCTTAAGATCATTGAGAGTTGATTTTATCACTGTCATGCAGTGTTCATTCCATGGCCCACCATACAGTTTTAAATTTTTTGTTAAAATAAAAATATGTAACTGTAATATAAACATAATGTTGATGTCCCAGATCCAGCAGAACTGTTCTGTAGTACACTTTTCTATCCCGTTGATGTCAGCAGGAATAATGCACGTGCTTTACTGTCAAGCATGTGCTCAACTGGCAGACACTAAACCTTGTACCAGAGACCAAGTGCACCAGATAGCTTATTATCATATTGACAGGTTTCCTGTTAGAAGAGTACAGCCTGTCTCCAGAAAAGTGCAGCCTAATTCTACTGGGTCAAATGCATGTCTGGGGTCAGTAGCTAGATAATACTTTCTCATTCCATCAAGTATATTTTAAACAACCTCAATTTGTACCCTTTTAAAAAATGATCTTGTTTTATGACCATTACATTTTTGCAAACGAAACCTCTGTTAAATGTGTTCTTTTAGAGATCATATAAAAATCCTGATTGCAGTGATTACAAGTATAAATTAGGATGAGAATGTTTGATTTTTGTAGAGCTGAAAGTTCTCCTTCTGCTTCTGATGAAGTCAGAGGAATCCTTTGCCACTGACTTTGTTAGTAGAAGGATCATACAGCACATTATTATGATGTGGAGTCTCTTGATCTCAGTTTTCTGTAGAGAAAGGCTTCTGGGACCTCTGTGACTATTTGGTGTATATACAAATGGGGAGACTGTAGGGTTTCCACTCCCATTATTTTTGACAAGATAATTAAACAAACAAACAAACAAAAATCAGGAATAGCTTTTTGTACCAGTGGTAATAAAGGTTGTCATATATTGCTTGAAATATGGCTTTCATATTCCTACTCTTTCTTCAAGCTAAATGACTGTAAAATCTCAACAGACTAAGTTGAAAACATTCCAAAACTCCTCCAAGTGTATTACTATCAACTTTGTGGTGGTTTGTGATTTATATTGAGACTATATTTCCTGATATAACTTACAACACTGCCTGGATAGAACCATCTTGATTATCTCTTAGGAATGTAGTTCTCAAGAGGGGAGGCATCATTGTTCTAATTTTGCAGTATTGGAAGGCTTTCATTAATTATGAGAGAGAAAAGGATATTATAATGTTTTAAATCCAACAGCAACAGTACTCTAGAAGCTACTATCAACACTGCATTTCAGTGGTGCAGAGGGATATTTCAAAATATTATGCAGCAGCAGTTTTGAGTTTAATTGTCTGCAGATGGTAGATGATCTATTTTCCTCTCTCGCTGCCACATTTCTAATAGCACCCAGGCTGTTCTATGTAAATGAGTGATCTTTCATCTAATTTTGTCCTTAATTTTCCAATATTTTTTCTTTGCATCATTCTCCAGCTGCATCATGTTGGATCTGACCTTTTAATTTTTTTTATATTCCTTAATATATATGTATCACAGCGTGCTTAACCATTGAGAGGCAATCATAGAACTGCTGGAAAACAAAGAAATAACAGATTTTATTAATGTGAGCCATGGTAATATTTGTCTGTAGCAGACAGTGGTTGCTTCAGCTGTCAGAAAAGTCTGGATATTTCAGGGCACAAACAAGTCAGGGTTTTCAGCTTTTTCTTGTGAACTTAAAACTCAGACCTGGGACAGTTGCACACATACCTAATTAAAAGCCACCTCTCAGCTGTCATCCTCTGTATGCTGAACATTAAGTATATGTGTAGAGTGTGCATTTTTAGAACAGTGACCCAAGTGGGTACAAGAAAAATTAATTTTACTAGCTCAAAAATGCTTTACATAAAAATTATCTTTTAAAAATTGTAGGAAGAATGTAGTATTATAAAGTAGGAAAATAAAATGAAACTAGCTCAAATTACTTGGAGAAGTTCTTATTAGAGTAATCTGAATAATCAGCTTGTTTTTGCTTAGAAAGCTTAGTGCTGTGACCAGCAGAGCCGAAGAGTCTCCAGTTTCCTCAAATGCAGTAAATAATGTGCTTTGAGTCCTTTCCCTGAATGAAAGTCACTCACAACAGCTTATTAATTTGCAGAATAACCCCACTAACAACTGAAGATGAAAAGGAACTTGTGGGAGGCTTTTGGTTTTTATTTGTGAAGTTCAGACAATAAATGACTGACCAAGATTCTTCTTGCTGGCGTAGCTTCAGTCTGGCTTTTTTTTCCCTCATGCATGCTGACCTGGAACTCTTCCTTTGCCTTAGCTGCGATAATCGTGACTCAGCTTACAACACCATACATTCGCATCGCCCCTGCTGCAGGCGACGACCAACTAACAGGTCAGATGTTCACCTACAGACAAGTCATTGTGCCCATTCTGTCTCTTTTCCTTTGGCTCCTTTGCCTTTACAGTTTCTTCTTCTCTGCTCATAAACAGTTTCTTTCTGTTCATAATTTCTTCCTCAGCTCCATTAAATTCTGTGGTGTGCTTGGCACCAAAACTCGCACACATCCCTGTACGTACGACTCCGCTGCATGTGCCCATTATGTATGTGACCTGTGGGATGTTCCTTCAAGCCTGATGTTGTAAAGAGGTCTCATCTTGCTCCATCCATAAATTAAATGAAAGTTTGAATATAGATATGTATCTGTGTACCAGTTTATTTTTTTCTCTGTTACTAGATAAAGACACTAGAATTTCTGAATAATTTAGGCTCAAGTGTTGCATGTGCAATTTAGGACAAAGACCTAGTGTTAGTGGGTTCAGGTTTTTTTCTGTGTGATGGTAGGAAGATCATGTTTTCTGGCAAAATTTCAATATGAAAGAAATGAAAATAAAGAAATAAAATAGATTCCTTTTTATTATTTATTTATTTATTATTATTATTATACATGAGTTCTAGGATTAAAATAAATCAACCTAGCATGTGATATATGAGAATAAGTAAGACTTAAGGATTTAAAATCTAATTGTCAAAACACAGTACTCAAGTGGAACCATTATTAGGCTGTATGTGCCTTGAAGGATGGCTCAGAATATGCCAGAAAACCTTTATGAACCTGGGGAAATGATTGATTTTGTCAGAAAAAACAAAAAAATAAAACCCAAAAAAAAATGCCTAAAACCTTTCAGGGATTTGCAAACATTTTTATTTTCAAACAGAACCAAAGAGCATTAAAAACTCTAGAACCTGAAGTGGTGAAGTATCTAATGGGGGAAGTAAACCTAGTCTGTCAGCTTTTGGTGTATGATAAAATCGTTGCCTTTTTGAAGAGCACTGGCATAGTTCCTTGGGAAAGCACGTTGTTACCGTGTTGCTACCAGGGTGTCTGAGAGGAGTTCAGATGTCTGGTATCTGGATACTGCTACAGTCAATAAGAAGCAGTTAAATGATTCAGCTCAAGATAAGAGGATTAGTGACATGTCTGCTGTAGCTTTTAATTCTGGGGTATGTGTTATAATAAGAAAACTGAGTGATCCATAATGCCCAAGTGACCTTGTCAATCAAGACAAAATTGCTGCATGTATACTTTTATTTTGTAATAACATATGAACTAACCAGAATAACATACGTATATGATGCCTTTAAGTAGCTTGTTCTTGTTACTGCTGCTTGGCAGAAGCTATGTCTGCGTACATTTTTATACCTCAGTTATTTTTTTACTTGACAATTCAAATAAAACATTGAAGAGACAAGATCTCTTCCATATTCTTGAACTTCAACAAGTTTTGATTTCTTCATCACAGGATTCAAATAAGCTGCATTTTTCTGTGTGGAGATTGAAATGTTTCTCTTCTCATATTTTGTTTTTTTATTTGTTTCAATGCAAAACTGGGTAGCTATAGGTAACACTGGAGACATGCCTGTTGCACAAGAAGGAGATGGCTGCAGTACTTAACAGTGAGAGAAAGGCTAGCATAGGATAGCTGGCAAAGTATTTATTTCATTGCTTTGTCCCTGGTGGCATTGGCAGTTTGTGGGTGTCTGTCAGATCTGTGAATTTTGTTTCCTTTTTCTTGAAAACAAAATAAAAACATTTACCAGAATCTAATTTTGTAGTGAAAAAGAAAATATCAAATTATACCTGCCAACAGCTTTTATAACTATCTGTGAAATGTATTAGAAAGCCTTTGAAATATCCTCATCATCTTCCCAACCCCATCTCATGTTTGAAAGACTCTGCTCAAAAGGAAAGAAACATCTTCCTCCTCGTTTGCCACAACTGCAATAATGAGCAAAAAAAGCCTCACCCAGCCCACTTGGTTGTCCCACGACAGCAACAAGAAATCCTGTTTTTCTAGGGAGGCATCCCGCTAGGGTTCCTTAGGCCAGGCTTTCAACTTCAGGGCAGTACAGCAGCAATGGGATCGGCAGTATCCATGAGAAGCACAAAGGTTTTCTTAAAAGAGGTTTACAGAAACTGGACCACACATGAGGGAGCTGGGAGTGGTACACATTGTCCCCACATTTTTCTCCTGTAAATTTCAAGACTATGGAAAGGATTTACATGTAAAAGGATTTGTTTATGTGAAAGAATAGGGCTTTTTTTAACTGTAGTTGCCACAAGCCCTACAGCTGTAACTGTTAAATGTCACTTAGCATTTTCTGTTCAGTGGTTTCTCCTCACTTCTTTGCTCAGAATCAAAGTAATTACATTTGAGATCAAGA